CGCCGCCGCCGCCGGCCCAGGCCGAGCCGGCCAACCGGACGCTGAGCTACCGCTCGCTCTTCTACCAGCTGAACTTCGACCAGCCCGTGCGCAACCTGGCCCGCTTCCCGCGCCGCCCGCCCGGCGAGCTGGTGCTGGTGGTGCAGGTGCACGAGCGGGCCGAGCACCTGCGGCTGCTGCTGGACTCGCTGCGCCGGGCCCCGGGCGTGGAGCACGCGCTGCTGGTGCTGAGCCACGACCTGTGGTCGGAGGAGCTGAACCGGCTGGCGGCGCAGGTGGAGTTCTGCCAGGTGCTGCAGATCTTCTTCCCCTTCAGCACCCAGCTCTACCCCCGCGAGTTCCCCGGCCACGACCCCCGCGACTGCCCGCGCGACCTCGACAGGCAGGCGGCGCTGCGCCTGGGCTGCAGCAACGCCGAGTACCCGGACTCCTTCGGCCACTACCGCGAGGCCAGGTTCTCCCAGACCAAGCACCACTGGTGGTGGAAGCTGCACTTCGTGTGGGAGCGGCTGCGGGCGCTGCGGGAGCACACGGGGCTGGTGCTCTTCCTGGAGGAGGATCACTACCTGGCCCCTGACTTCTACCACGTCCTCAAGCAGCTTTGGGCGCTGAAGCAGCAGGAGTGCCCGGAGTGCCAGGTCCTCTCCCTTGGCAGCTACAACGTCGTGCGGGGTGGCTTCTCCGGCAAAGCCGACAAGGTGGAAATGAAGACGTGGAAGTCCACCGAGCACAACATGGGCATGGCCTTCAGCAGAGACACGTACCAGCAACTGATCGAGTGCACAGATGCCTTCTGCACATATGACGACTACAACTGGGACTGGACGCTGCAGCATTTGACTATCTCTTGTCTTCCAAAATTCTGGAAAGTGCTAGTACCCGAAATCCCCAGGGTTTTTCATACAGGGGACTGTGGCATGCACCACAAGAAATCCTGCAGACCATCCACCCAGAGTGCCAAAATCGACTCGCTCTTAAGCAGCAACCAACAGTACCTGTTTCCTGAAACAATGAGTGTCAGTAAAAGGTACTCCATGGCACCTCTCTCTCCTCACGTGAAAAACGGAGGGTGGGGAGATATTAGAGACCATGAACTCTGTAAAAGTTATCGCAGACTGCAGTGAAAATCAAACTCTCAACTAGCCTCTCTTTTGAATTATTCCATACTGTCTTATGGACAAAAGGGTTTCTGGATTGGTTTCTGCTTTAAGATGAATAAACATTCTTGTAAAAGGTGTCCAAAACTAGTAATCTTTCATGTTTCTCAGTTAAATTTTTTAAATGGGACAGGTTCTATTGCTGAGATCAGATGGAAAACAAAATTTAAGCCCAGATGCAGAAAGTGGCCATTATGCTGTGCTTACTGACAAGGATAAACAACATTAAAATGCATCTCTTATCTGTTACATTAGAGGGCTTTTCACTTGCAGAATCTCTTAAACTCCATGCAAAATACATTTTGAAATGAGCAAATCCCTGATATTCCAAGTACTGAGAAGAGTAAGGGTGGAATGGAATAAGCTTGACTGAACTCTAGTCAGTTCTCAGTCCAGCAGCCCTGTACTGTTTTAAATAACGTTCTCATTGTTTAAATTCAGTGACATTAAAGTAAAATCATTCAGCATTCCACAAGCTTGTACTATTGTATTAGGCTTGCTTGAGATTTGGTGCATATCTGCAAGAGCATTCTCTTATTTGCTATGTATTTGATTATATGAAAAGGGACAAATCATTGCTCAGTTTAATGTAGAAATATACTTTTTTTTAGTTCTGCCAAAATAAAATTCACATTTGTAATACCATGAAAGTCCTTGATTCTGCAAAACTATTAGTTTAGTTTAAATCTTTCTTGCTATGACAAAATTCAGTTTTTTTCTAATGCAAAGAGGGTTTAAAAACACACCAAATGTCATTACCCATTCAAAGAGTGTACATCTAACTTCATTAAAAAAATCAGTAATTGAGTTAAAACAGAGAAACACACTATTACCTCCTTTGGAAGAAAGTAATCACAACACTTAGCCTTCAAATTAGTCAGCCATATAAAAAGAACAAACATACTGTTTAATAAAAACATGTTGAACTGGAACGGAAAGCCAGAAACAATACAAAACAATGCCATTTGTTACAGTGAAATATTTGTCTATTCTAACTGTAGTGATGCTTTTTTTAAATGTCACTTACCATTGAAGTATAACAAACTTATCAATACGAGTTAAAGAAGTTTTGTGGAATAGCCTCAAAACAGATTTCACTGAACGACTTAGACAAAGTACAGAGGGGGAATGTACGTGACAGCTGGAATGCAGTCACTCTCTAAACATCAGCTAGTCCCCATAAACCATATCAAACACATACCAAGCTTGAAAAAATTGGGTGACAGGAATTACTCTAAAAGTACTTTCATGTAGCTAGATGACTTAGACATTCATAAAAGAAAAAAGTGATTGGATAAATTTGTTACATTAAGGCTGAAGAAAACTCTACTGCACTTGTATTACGATAAGAGGGTCAGTGGCCTTTTGTTCTTGTCTAAAAATAATTATTGCTCAATGAAACTGCTTAACTTGTGTGCTGATAGATAAAACATAACTTTCAACTAAACTATTCTTAATTTTCTCTCCTCCTTTATGGGATGTGAATAAATTGCTTAAATGTATTCACTGGAGAGGAAACACAACTGTTATGAAGCCATCTCAATATGTGGATGTTTATTACTTTTTAAAAAACAGAATGTGTGCCAAAACAGATTGTTCTCCTGGGTAATTTAACTGTCAAATTTTAGAGTTAGGGAAGGTGGGTGAGGCAGTATCTTTTACTGAACCAACTTCCTGTTGGTGAGAGAGACGCTTTCCTGCTTATGCAGAGCTCTTCTTCAGATTTGACTTGAAGAAAAGCTCAGTGTAACTCTCTCACCAACAGGAAGCTGGTCCAATAAAAATGACCTTATCCACCTTGTGTCTCTAATATCCTGGAACCAACACAGTATATACATTTTAGAGTGGTCACAAGCAATAAAATTCAGTACTTGCTCTGTTAAGTATATGCAGCCCCAAGAAGTACTTGTGGTTGGCACAGCTATGTAAGCAACCTAATTTTATGGGAGATTTGAACTGTAAATTAATTTAACCTAAGTTCGTTCAGAAGTACATTTTCTTCAGCATGCACAACAGTTTATAAAGGAACTTTTTTTGGGGGGGAGAGGGGGGAGTGACAGAAAAGGGATCTGAAAGTTTAATATCAAAGCTTAGAAATGTGCTTGCTTATTGTTGCTTTCCACTGCCATGCAATCCCAACAGGCAGCATATTTAAACCCCAGGAAACTTATTTTGAGTGGTAGGAATAATTTAGATAAATTGACTCCATATTAGAAGAAGATTATACATGAATAAATGCAGAGATGTTGGGAAATGCAGGTTTTAATACACTGGATAACAAAGAAACAAATTAATTAAACATGGTTGCATTGGTGTATTTGGATACTATATATCTGAAGGAAAGTAGTAGGATAAGATAGCAGTATAAACATTTATTTTAAGGAGACTAATTAAAAAGTGGGCTTCTCCATGGAATGAAAAATTCTATTGGCCAAAAATCACTAGCAGTCTAACCCTACAATCCACAAAATGAGTATTGGCAAATATTTACTTCAAATGATGGGTATTGTTTGTCATTAGGTTGAACAAAGATAGCAAATCTGGAGAGAAGCATTACAAAAACACAGTACATACACAAACATATAAAAACTTCAATATATTAGAGAGATTACCCAACTAATCAAGATCCAAGTCCAGGTTCTTGAAGGGAAAGTAATCTACTGTTGCTGTTTATATGTTTTAATTTCTACTCAATTGAACATTTCTTTTGAAAATACTTTTATTTTAAAGAAAGTTTAAAACTTGTAAAAAATCAAAATTAACAAAAGTTGATTTAAACAAAACAATTAAATCGCTTCCTCTTATTGAAGCTGTCAGACTCAGGTTCAGATTTCTGCTTTCCATGCAATGATTTAAATGCCCAAAAAACCAGAAGCCTGAACTGCAGAGGATAAACTGACCATTATAATTAAAATCCTGACATAACTTAATCCAACTCATATAACAAAGAATTTTGAAAAATTAATGCACAGTGCGTTGTGTGATCTCTAACAATTTGCACACTTCCATCTTGCATATTAATTTCCTTTATAATTGGAGAAACTGGTCTACAGTTCAAATTATGTTGGTTCTCTTCTGCTGGCGCTGAAGACATGACCTCTTCATCCCTTCTTATTTTTGCCTGCTCTTCCAAATGAAGTAATTCTTGCTTTTCACAGTCTGAGGACGTGGCATTTTTGCCTGTTGTGAAAGCAAGTTCTAACTGTGGTTCATTTATCTGAGATTTCCCAGAAATTGCTAAACTAGTGTCAATAGGTTCAAGCTGCAAACAATGGCCTGAACTACAATCTACTACTACTACTTTTTTATCAGTTGTAAAAGATCCAGAAGTCATGTCTGTTTCCGTACCATGTTCTCCAACGGTGGCAGCTGCAATATGGTTAGCTTCTATATTTGTTTTGAAGTAGTTTCTATTCTCTTTTTCAACTTGATCTCTTCCTGAATTGTTAACTGTTTGTTCTTTTTCACCAAGTTCACAATGTTTAACCTCCTGTGACTGTTGAGGGAAAAAACCAGGTAATTAATTGTACTTTGATACTCTAACACTTAATGTTGACTGAACACACAAAAATGCTATCAACGGGAGGCCTAGACACTAAATAACTCAGAATGCATTTATTTCTATGAGATCTACAATCTGTGTTAGTCTGCGCTTTCAGAAAGCTAAATCAGACCTGTGCTGAGGGTTTCCCAATACTGTAATCAAAATGCATGTGGGAGTGTATTACAGATTGTTTCCCACCATAAGGTTTTACTCTGCTGTGGAAAGAGTTGCTGGACAGCTGCCAATTGGTAATGATGTACAACAGTTAATAGTGGAAGAAAGAGCAAATGATCACAGTTGGGTTATGCACACAGCCTTGCATTTTCCACAAATCCATGGCTGCAAAATTGGCCCCAGAATATAAACTTTCATTTGAGGAAATGTTCCTAGCCTGTAGGGTTGTGAAAACTATGTCCCTGTCACATGTGGAAAGTTTAACTAATGCAGTGTTGTCGTCTTGAGTGTGCATAAAACAATGTCAGAGAACTGTTCTTGTTCATCTCACTAAGGTGAGCACTCTGAACCCGGATGACTGAATATCATAGATCAACATTCACTTTTTTGCTGTTGGTTATTTCAGCAGAAGCTTTTACATAATGTGATTCCATTGTTAGTAAATAGGGTGTGTCTGGCTGCAGTGGAGTGGCTCAATGTTGTCAAAGGCAGCTGCCTAGCTCCGGGAACTAGCAATTTCAAGATTCGTTACCCTGCCAAACCTTCTCTAGTCTACTCCCCACACCCCAAATGAGTTACTGTCACCCTGTCAACAAGAAAGTAAGAGAAGATTCATTCCCTTACCAGTGACGAAAGCATCACCCACCTCTTGGGTATCAACACCCCAAACTACCTTCCCTCTCTCCCTCATTTCCTCGGTGCCAAAAGCCAAATCTGTTTATCCCAGTGGTTCTCAAACTGGGTCGGGACCCCATTTTAATGGGGTCGCCAGCGCTGGCGTTAGATTTGCTGGGGCTGAAGCCTGGCCCGAGGGCTTCAGCCCTGGGTGGTGGGGCTCAGGTTACAGGCCCCTCGCATGGGCCTGTAGCCCTTGGGCTTTGGCCCCCCTGCCTGGTGTGGTGGGGCTCAGGCTTTGCGCTCCGCCCCCACCTCCCACAATGGCAGGGCTCAGGCTTGGGCTTTGGCCCCCCTGCCTGCAGCAGTGGGGTTTGGATGGGTTCAGGCTTTGGTCCCCCCTCCTGGGGTCATGTAGTCATTTGTGTTGTCAGAAGGGGGTCGCAGTACAGTTTGAGAACCCCTGGTTTATTCAGTGTCCAAAATCTCCACCTTTCCTCCAAAGACTTCTACAATGCACTCATAGACTAGAAATGCAGTGATATATAGGAACTTCACAACACTGCAGCACGCTGAAAACTAAGGGTGGCATAAAACTGAAAAAATATAAAACCAAATTGTTGAAATTAATAGCAGGTTAAGGGATTACTGCAGTGATTATTTATTTAACTAACACCTTATTATTGACATTACTTGA